TCGAAAGAATTTTTTCTTACTGTTTTATTTTAGTATTAATACTTGATTATTACAAACTAGTGGAGTAATTTCACAAAAAAAAAATTATATCAAGGACGTAAAACTTCTTGACATTCAATAAAGTTAAGGTACAGTTTAGCTTTTTATAGTGCCATTTTTATAAAGAACGATATTATTGTGTTTTGACTCGAAAGAATTGCAACTATACTCTCGCCAAATTAGATGTAGAAAAAATGTCAACTAACAAAACGTGTGATTTTTAGGGTTTTCATCTTAGAATCTTTCACACTTATCACAATTTCAATATTTTGCCCCCAATCCAACTAGATTATGGATAATACTAAATCTTGAAATCATGTTTATAATGAATATTGTTCAACAGAAGTTTCAAATCACCTAAAAATTAACTGACCAGTAATTAACTATTTGTAAAACTGGGTCATCCCTAGTGACTTTTAGATTTGAAGGGAGAGATTGCAAACATTCGAGTTGTGGTGGTAATTCAAGTTCAGAATCGGAGATAGATGCTGGATGATATAATATGTGGTAAATTAACAAATAAAATAAAATCTTATCATTTTCATCTACCATTACCTACCTAATTCATACGTATCAATACGTATTTAGTAAACTTAATAATAGTTGGCTAGATAAGTATTACTTGTACATAACCCAATTACCTACTTACCTATTTACATTCAAATTAATGGAGCATTGAAAATTGTTGTTTTCCTATTCATTGGATATATTCATTGGTTGCCTAGAAACGTTTTGCTATTAAACATTCTACATCGAATTTGGCTAGAGTGTAGTAATGAATCATTTAAGGACTTTTTTACTGTGTGTTCTTTTGTTTATCAAATTGCTGGTGAAAAGAATTATGTCAATGCAACTATTATGGCAACTTTTTAAAGAATGTAATTTTACACAATGTCAACACCGTAACTCGCACCTTGGGCTTATGTAAGGTTACATCTGCAAATTGACAATTTTTCGGGAGAGAGGCTTAAATCTTTAAAGATGCTACGAACAAAATCAGTCCATAACTTTACGTTGTATTCATAGCTTGTTTTATGCAATTGGTATTATTTTTACGACTTCCTTGTGATAAAAGCAATTTTAACGTATAATCATATGTGGGTTTATTATAACTATGGCTTTAGAATTACGATTCTGCGGTCAACTACCAGCAAATTTAAAAAGTATTAAAAACTGCAAAATGTTTTATTCCGGACTGAAACTCCTTTTATTGGATAATGAACTTTACATTGTACAGGAATTTATTTCGCAGAAATTGTAATTTTATTTTTATTAGACGTTGTATTTCGGCAATATTTTGTGTTTATGTATATTTTAGTATCAAGGTCTTAGGTTTTCGCGATTGTTACGCTTAGGAAATGGATCTATTTGTTCGAATCTCAATCGCGTTTTTTTCAAACCAACCCTTTCGGGCCCTTTTAATAAAATACTATACTTTAGAAGAAGAAAGAAATATTCCAAGTTACGTTACATAAGCTTTACTAATGATTTTATTTTAACTATATAATTGTTTATTAAATTAATTATTAATGGTAATCAGAATAAATCAAAACATATGAAATAGTAATTTAGTCTGCTTGGGGTTTTTTGGGAAATACTGGATCCCAAACTGACAGTACGGAGAAACTATCTTCCATGTAGAAATTACGATGTTTTTCATTTCAATGCCCTCTCGCATAATCCTGGGTAGATAAAGAACTTTTTTGCAGGGACCTGGAGCATATCGAACATATTGCTAATATGGAAATAGATTGTATTCTATTCTACCAAGGGTATGATTTCGTCGCCTTACTGTTTCAAACTCGTATCTTAAAGCACAAAGTTACTGAAATGCAAAAAATAGATTGTATATACAATTTCGCAGGCTGATTTCATATCATATTTCCTTCGTATTAACACACTGGCTTTTACCTATTCTTAAAGTAATGCATCGAAATTAACATCCTTGATAAGAAATTTAAAGTAAATAGTAGCAGTAGAGCTCCTTGTGAAAGAGTTCGTCCAGGGAAGTACTGCCACCTTACCTATTTCTGCCGCCAAGCAGTAATGTCAGCATTACCGTGTTCCGGTTTTGAAGGGTAAGGGTGCTGGTGAAATTACAAGCACATGGCACTTGTCAACGTATGTCTTAGGGTGCCGGGCGCAGTGGCAGTGCCCCTCAGATCTTTGTGATTTAGACCTCTGAGTGGCACTGCAACTGTTATGGACAGGCGTGTAGCTTACCATCAGGCGCACGACTTGTTCGTCCCGTCACTAGAAATTGTAAAGAAAAAGTTTTGCTATCTCCTGAATAATCACTCTTTGTAAGGTACGAGTTTGAGAAAGTAAGGCGTCGATTTGTTACGTCTATTAGTGTTGTAAGGTTTGAAATACTTTGAGAGGATTGTCCAAACGGTACAACAATATTGGTCTGCATTATATGTTATGTAGTTTATCTATCTATGTGTAGACTTACATGATACAATATATTATTAGCACAACATTTTCGTAATGTTTTCTGAGTTCTAAGACTGTTCCTTAGGGAATATTCCACTTCTTACGAAAATAAAGACACGTGTAGGACGCCTTTCGTGGAATAAAATGATGACGGTAAGTAGGTTTATTTTGGGCTTCCTAAGTGGTTTAGGGAAAAATCTAAATTACCAGAAAGAAGTACTTATTATGTCTTATTTCATGAAAAGTAGTTTATACTACTTATTGTTACTTTCAAATTTTACGTCAATATTTTTTTAACAAACAAACAAACTTTTTAATAAATACAATGTAACGGGTTTGTTCCACCGGTGTTTCTTTTTAAAATTTCTTTTTCATTTTTGTTATTAAGGTAAGAAAAATTTAGATGATCAACGACTTTTTGATCGGCTGTACGAAACTTACCCCTTTCATGGACAGTAAGAGCGTTGGCGCACTACGTCCGATTCGTATCAGGGGGTCTACTCTCGATCTCCGCCAGACATCCGTCCGAAACAATTACTGTCAAATAAGCAATACTTGACCACATGAAAAGACGCATGATGCGAATGAAACTTCATACTGGATACTTGTCTTTTAATTTTGTCGAATATTACTTATTTCACAGTAATTGTTTCGGACGGATGTCGGACGGAGATCGAGACTAGCCCCCAGTTCCGAATCCGAGAAATGACGGTCCGAAACGTCACAAGTGTCCGAAGTGTCATTTTATCTCTAGATGTACAAGCGATATTCGACGGAGCCATGGATACAAAAGTTGAAGCTTATATTGGTATATTTTCGGATTAGAATCGGACTTAGTGCACAAGCGACATCCGAAGTGGGTCCGAGTTTTTAGATTTGCATAGTCTCGGATTCGGAACGACAGTGCGATTTCCAAATGCTTTCTGTACAGTGGCCGCCTACGTTTTCCATAGAGAAGTATCAACAATGTTATTGACATAATTGACAATAATTGACACAATTGAATGATTTACATACATTGAACATTTTATGTTGAATCAATATGAGTACCACGGCTAGAAATATACTAATATTTTCGTGTACAGTACCAATTAAGTACACAAGCGACATCCGAAATAAGTCCGAATTTTCTGAACGAATATGAATCGGATGCAGTGCAGAAACGCGCTCAGTTTTTTTTAACAGTCATCCTGGTGAATTACATGTTTTACAGATAGACCACTGTTCTAGGAAAATATTGATATAAAATAAACAAATTCAAAATTATCAATATTTTTAGTTTCTTTGATAATTTCTCTGATTGTGTCCGATAATTTTATCCATGGTGATTAATAGCTTTTTTCTTCAATTTTTTATTAAAAAATAAACAATAACAGTAAGAAAACTGAATAAACCCGAAGAAAAATGTTTGGAAATATTTGATTTGGGATTTTTTCTTACAAATATTCATTTAACACGTTTGAATACATTTCATTATACAAACACATTGCACGACAGCGCTAGCGGTAACATTTCGTTGTTCCAATTAATTGGTAAGTATTAAAATAATTACCAAGGTACATGTATCAAGACAAACGACAAAATTATAGAATAAAATAAATCATTGATAGGAAATCAAAATATTACTCAAAGTAATTCTCTATAAATATTATATTTTAACCAGTCTAGAACCCAGTCCAGCGTGACGTGCCCAAATGAAAATCATGCATAGCATTTACGAACTTGACACCTGTTTACCTCATAATACTATTGAAATAACTAAAAAAAAATAATTACCTTAATAGAAATAGCTATTTCGTTATATCGTAAATCGCTCCACGACCAATTACTGTTGCTTCATACGATTACAGCACCATTTATATTATTGTAAACCGTTTTATTTGATAAATGATTATGGTTCGCTGTAATGCTGGCTGTAATTGAACGTTTTACTCATTTTAAACTACTTTAAAAAAGTAGGTTCGACTTATTCTAATTTTATGAAAATGAATTTCACGTACTTTGTATCAAATTTCAATATAATGTAATAGTATGTATGAGCTCTACTCTACTAGATTTTTAGATGCTTTAGAAAACGTTTTCAGTCATGTCATCCTTAAACACATTTTGTTAAAATACAAACATGTGTTTTTCAACAAACCATCAATGAAGGCTAAAACCATGTTATTAGTATAATAATGTCTATGCATAACAAAGCTTCTGTAATGTAACCATTATGAAATAAAAAATCTTGTGAATTCAAATTTAACCACCTATTAACGTTATTTACGTAGAATGACATAAAAAATACGTCAGTCCGTATTTCTGTTAAGAATTTTGTTAATATTTTTCAAAGTTCTAATATCGTAGAACTAACGAACCATCACTGAACGCATTTCTTTGAAATTCGTAAGCAAATCCCATAAGAAGCGTAAATATTTGATATTGCCTTGAATACTTAACTTCCAAAAAGGTAAAGCGGCTAATAAAAGAAAGTCTTTGAAGATAATGAACATAGCGCAAAAAAGTAATTCCCTTAAACTCACCTGTTTTTTCCTTGAGGCAGGATATGGACACTATCATTACGAAAAAATTAATATTTACACTTGAAGCTAATTACAGACATTGACAAACTACTTTAAATAATTTAAAGATACACCACTATAAGATATAGACTGTTTTCATCGGACACTATTACGCGATTTTACGTCGGCACCACCCCTTGAAAGGGTGGAGGCGGCCGCTCTTATCGGCGGTTGCCTATCGACTAACACAAGTGTCGAATGTCAACAGAGTTTTAGGAGCACTGCCAAGCTGCAGCGTTTTCTACGCATGCGTAGTGCAACTTGCATCCTGAAAGCCTTATTTACTTGTTAGTCGGCTAACTTTGACAACGCTTCGGAAAAAAGTTTTCTTTCGCACTTTGAAGTGGGCCAGCTAACACTCGAGTTCTTTGTAATTTTGTTTTTACTTTGAATATGTAATTTTATGCCGCGTTTCTCTCTAGGCAGTGTTACGGTATTTTGACACGTTAGTAGTGATAGAAGGACGGTGCATTACGTATAATAATACTTAGATTGCAATTTTAAGCCGCGTTTGTTGCTAGGCAATATATGGTATTTTCACAGTTAGTTGTAGTAGAGGGACAGTGAACTTAATGTAGCATAATATTTAGATTATCGCAATCATTTTTGAACTTATTTTGAGCAATAATTACGGTCGATACAGTCTTTGAAATTCGTTAACACACTAATTAATTAACTGTTTCCGTGGCCAAACGGTTACCATGCTGCATTATGGGAAATATAAGTCAGTTACGGACCAAAAATCTGTAACTTTTTTATTTTTTGAGATACACCTTTAAATTTTTTATTATACATAGTGGGAATTACGACGCTTTTAAATGTTTATACATTTTTATTTAACTACCCGTAATTGAGAGACAAAAATGCGAAACGGAAGAAACGGGAAAAATATTTGTGTGGCCTACATTTATTTTATATTTCTATTCTATTCTATTCTATTTATCTCGGGAGTTTGGGTGCAATTTCTGGTGTCTATGTGTGTGTCCATGGCATCCGCGATACAGGGTTTCCCTAGTTAAGCTAGCTAGCTATGAGTGTGTGCGTTATTATAATTACTATTTAATAAAAGCATTTTTGTTGACAGGTATCGCGTTCTAGAGACATACGGTGTTCCTAATGAAACTGGTACGGTAGCCACCTAGCGCCACGAGGGGTCTCTAATGCACACCTGTGTTTTCAACCACAATTTAAAACAAAAATAACAAAACGTTAGAGACACTGTGTGTCTCTTGACACGTGACGAGTTAATAAAAAAGTAAATCCTAGACAATCTAATAAAGAGCAACAAGGGTTTCTAAAAATTTAAAACAATCCTAATTTTATTTACTTCATAAAATTTTCTTGTACAAAAAACTTACATACGCGCGAGCAATCCCTTTCAAAGTCGACTAAGAAATAATTCAAACGAAAAAAGGGTGTGTCAACGAAATTGCAACCCTAAATGAAATTATTTACGACTATGTCCATTTTGTAGAGATTCACGGGGAATGATAATGGTATAATAGTAATAAAGAATTATAGATACGATATTTTACAATACTTATTCATAATTTGAAAGTAGTCATACTGAATACGTAATTTTGTACATTAAATAAATGAAAAACAAAATCTTTTAAAATTACGTGTCAAAAAACATGCAATATGTGTTTTATTTAATTTTCTGAGGTACCTGTTTGGTTTAGTAGCAAAATACCTACAGTAAAAATCGATAATAGTATTGTAATTAAAAATGTTACAACTGAATAATCGTACATATATTATATTCACATTACTTAGACACAAATACAATTTTTCGAAATTCATGTTTGTTCCGTCTTATTGTCTTGTGAATTGCGACTATCATCGCAAAAGTGGTGTAACCCACATTTTTTTTGTACTATATTACTTTCGGTAGTACTAAATATCTGAATGTTAATTATATATTTAAAAAAAGTATCATCCACATATAAAATAATTATGTAATTTTGTATCATTTAAAGTATTGTTGAAAAATTAAATTAAACGTAGGTTCTGATAGCCTCAATTGTCCATAATAACTTTTTTTATACTACTCTGGTGAAGTACCTTCTCTTTCAACCACCTGTCTGTTTGATTGTTACCAGAAGCATATCGTCACACATTAATTTAGTCAAACACCGCCCTTTAGTTTGGCACATCACGCCGTATGATCTATGGGTCCCCAATGATGTCCATTACGACTGCACGCTTTTTACCCCTACTTGCCACCTCATAAATGCGTACTCTCAAGCAAAGGGTCCTTTGGTATTTTATAATTAAGTGCCGGTGGTGACTGGAACGCTTAACATGTTTAGAGTGGAAAAAATGCACAGCGTAGAAGATTTTTTAAGCTATTTGCACACACACATTTAGTGACAGTAGCAGCTTCTTGTGAAGGAGATCGTCTAGGGAAGTACTGCCACCTTACCTATTTCTGCCGCCAAGCAGTAATGTCAGCATTACTGTGTTCGGGTTTTAAAGGGTAAGGGTGCTGGTGAAGTTACAGGCACATGGAACTTGTCAACTTATGTCTCAGGGTGACGGGCGCAGTGGTAGTGCCCCCTCAGATGTTTGCAATTTAAAGCTATGAGTAGCACTTTAACTGTTATGGACAGGTGTGTAGCTTACTATCAGGCGCACGACTTGTTCGTCCCGTCACTTGATATAAAAAAAACAAAAAACACGCACATAACACGTTTCGGCAGTCTGAACACTGACTACGTGTCACCTTCAAGAAGCTCTTTTTATAAAGCTGTATATTATAACAGTTATAAATTTACTAATTTCGTATGTATACAAAAAACAACCTGAAAATTATTAGTTACCAAAAGCCTCAAGGTTGTACTGTGTAATTATGGATAAAATATGAGCTTCTAGCCTCTGTATTAGGTGAAAGAACTGTGTTTTAAAAGTTGCAAAATAAGTTTGTGGTAAGTTGTTCTGTGCGATATTTAATACCACTAATTAAACTTGACGATTATTATTGTTAGTTACTTATTTCTGTTTCATTCATTTATTGCCTATTTATGTTAATATATTTATTAAGTGCTTCAATATAATTATATTTTTACTTCCGTGCAACTCGACGTCAACGAGATTATTTTGCATGTGATGGGTGCAGGGTCCGCTACAGGGTTTGCTGAAGTCCTCGGGAATTGACCTCAGCACTCCAAGGTACTTCACCCTGTGATTGGCCACGCTGGAGTATTGTAGTAGGATGCGCGTGGCCGTTTCCTCCTCCTCCATGCACGCTTTCAATAGTGGTTTATTTAATGATAAGCTTGCTGCAATAAAGAGACGTCTAAAGAAATTAATATTCTTACACTTGGGTCACAGTATAAATTTACTGTGACTCAACACACCAACAGATGAACAATTATTACCCTTAACACACATTTAATGAAAGTAATAATTGTTTATGAAAAATAGTGAATAACAACATTAATACGGGGAACAAAATTAAACTGCCTTTTCTTGACAGTCACTTTCATAAAATCACAAATGCATTTAAGCGTGAGGCATACAGACAGCGGGTGCGAGTCAGGCACGTGTCGGGTCGGGACCGCGGCGGTACTAATTACGTGTATTTATATGGACGATAACACACCAAACGAAGGCGCGTGCGCCCGTCCCGCCCCCGCTCTCTATGTGTTTCACCCTTTAAAGGGAAATGTATACCCTTCTTTTAAGATTCCGGTTAATATTCAATAGGTTTAAAATTATAGTGAAACAAAAATTTTACACTAAAAGTTATTACACACCTGCGTACTTAGTACTGACCCGTTTTAACGTTTGCATTAGTAGTCTCGATCTACAATGTTTGAAATTAGTGTTGTAAATGATAAACGCGTATAAATGTTTATTTACAAATAGTAACTCATAGTGATTTTTATTCATTCTTCTCAAGAAAATCTGCCTTACGAATGAATACTAGAGTTTAATCAATGTGACGACTTCAAGTGTAATTTACTTACCTGTGAAATGAAGATTCTTTGAGTTTAAGATTAATTAGATTTATTGCCACTAAACATCCACGAATGTACATAAATTAGAAAAACAAATGTACTCGCCGTCATAGGGATTCGTAACGTGCCTTGTAATTGTGAAGCAACAGTTCTCTCAATGCTCTACTACTGTTCTTGACAAATAACATTTTTTGTTTATTCTATATTTGGTAGCTATCAACTCATATGTGCCAGTGACATCGAAAGAAAAACAATAGTTTAAAAATAATGTAAATGTATTCCAAAACAGCGGACAAAAACAAAATTTATAAAAACATTCAAAATCTCACTAGTTTTACTTATTAATTTGACAATGCGTTGTATGAAACATTTGACTTTATACATGTGTTTATATTGATACATTATATTTGAACATCTATTTTTAACAATAAATAAAATGTTCAAATGTCCGTGGTCGAACCATTACCATGCTGGTCTGACACGCAGAGATCCCGAGTTCGGTTCCTCAATCGGGAGAAATATTTGTATGACCTATTTTATTAATGTTATGTTTGTTTGTTGTTTTATTTCTCGTAAATTTGGGTGTAATTTGTGGTTGTCGATGTGTATGTTCATGGTAACCGTGACACGGGGTTTCCCTAGTGCGGAGCTATGAGTGTCTGCGTTAAAAAAAGAATAAACTGTGCCAAAATACATAATTAATGTGTTGTGTTCTATTCCATGATGGGCTATGGCAGAATTAGAGCAAGCACATGTGCCTGGAATTTAACCAGCACCCTTACCCTTAAAAACCGGAACCCACTAATGCTCACGTTACTGTTGGACGGAAAAAATAGATAAGGTACACCGAAGGTGCGTTAACTAAACCAAAAAATAAAATACATTCTAGCGACTTATCACGACGATTTAATCGCATGTTCTTCCTCCGATCATATATCAAGATTTATTATTTAAAACGAAATGCATATGAATAGTTGCGGAGGCCCCCACAGGGCGCGTCGGAACGTAATGTTAAGATATA